ATTTGACACCAGTGGCAGGTGCCCAATAGCAGCCAGCACCTGTTCGACGCTGTGCAGCTCCTCTGGAGGTTAACTGTGAGTTTTACTTCCAAAATGTTAAATGCAAGTGTTACAGAGGATGTCAGGGGAAATGCAGTTTACTTATCAACAGCTGTCAGATGTCTGTGAGGATCACTAGCATTAAAGGACAGTGGCACATCCCTGCATGGGAGCAAATCAGATTGAAATTAGTGCAGAAGGACTAATGAATATGAATGAACACATGGTGCACGACCTCCTCTGTGTTTGCAGTTGGAGGTAGATTCATTGGTAGATTCTGAATTTGGATGATGGCTGAAATGTTGCATTTTATATGTGCAGGGATGATGTTTTGTGGATGAATGAAACGGCACGTCTTTACTTTGTGTGTGTGCGTGTGTGTGCGCGTCTGTCAGGTGTGGCTGCCAACTGTGCTTCGGCTTTAGCCCAGATGGCTGCAGCCTCCTGTGTGCAGGAAGAGAAGGAGGAGAAGGAGGTGGGGGAGACGGGAGACGCTATCGCACAAGGTATTTTCACAGAAACACAAACACAGGCTTGTGCGGACGTTTGCATGTAACAGACACACAAAAACCTTCAATTTGAATCAAGCTCATCATCGTCACACACAATCAAGGGGTAAAAACACAAATTAGTGCTAATTTGTGTTTTCCTAGTTATAAAGCCCAGGTAAAGGACATATCTGGGCTTTATAACTGACTGAGATATTGAGACAGAGCATTTCTGTTAATATTTGTATTAATATTTATTTATTACTTGTATTATTATTTCCTTAAGTACCTTTAACTGAGTGTTTTCCATCTTCTGGTGAATTGTTTGTTGAGATAAGGAAGTCATTGCGAGTTTTTGCTTTTGTCTCTTTTTAAAAAAAGTTATTATTATAACATTTTTACACTATAAGCAGAAACATTCTGGGCCACCTTGACCTGCAGGAGCTGCTCGGCCATGGAAGCCCATGCCGTGACGCTCCCAGCACAGAGGAGCTGCTGTGTGCCTCAGCACTGCGGCTCTGTAACTTGATGCGTCCTGACCTCCCGGCTGAGCACGTCAGGACCGTTGATTGTGGAATATCACGGAGGGAAGAACTGACTTGCTGCAGCGGCGGCGTCCAGAGTTCAGTCAGATCTTCAGAACAACCTATTCTTTCACAAACGTTTGCAAAGACCGACTGCGTGGCTAGGTGCTTAATTTTATGTACCTGTGCCGATGGGAGTAAAAAGCACCTCCCCTTTTCCTTCACTAAACCTTGTGTCCTTGACCTTGATGAAATTGTCATGAGTTCAAGGAAAAGAGGGTGTTAGGAATATTGATAAGGACTCGAGAAAAGAACTGTGTGCTGAGAATCTGAATGACCTGACACTAACCTGCTCAACATGCGTGCTGTGTTGAAACTACAGCGTGTAAATGTGGACTACAAAACATCGTTGCTTTGCTAACAGTACGCAGCAGCTGGATTTGCTAAGGAGCTCACGGTGACTGAACGTCACAGTCTTGGGTATTTTTCCAGGTGGCCTTATGGCATATACATCTGTAGGAGCTTCCCTTTCAAGAAGAAAATATTTAAATGAGTAACATAGACATGATTTACGAAGTCTGAAGCATGCACTTTACTGCAAAATGCTCAACATTTCTTTGCCAAAAAACAAAGCTTATGTCTGATCGGTGCTTCCAGGAGTGTTTATCTGTTTGGAATAACAGGCCACAGCCTAAACTTTGGGAATCATTTCTACTGGAGACAAAAGCAATGATAAAAACAAGATATGGGAACTTGTGACATCTAGTGACGGCTGCTACAAACTGCTGGCAGCGTTTACTGGGATGCAAAATTAATGTTTATATATTTCCTCAAACGGAGAGTCAGTTTTGTTAAAGCTCATCTCAGATCAGTTCAAGCACAATGTTCAGGGCGTCTGTGATATTTAAAATCCACTTTACTGTGTGTGTGTGTGTGTGTGTGTGTGTCTCCAGTGAAGCAGCGTGTTGAGCAGCGTCTGGAGCAGATCGGCCGTCCTCAGGGAGTTCGCCTCCATACAGCTCATGTGTTGTGCATGGACGCCATCCTGAACGTTGGCCTGGAGATGGGCAGCCACAACCATGACTGCTGGCCTCACGTGTTCAGGTTCGTTCGTTTATCCTGTAAAATATACGTCACATATCATATATATCAAGCTCGGAGATGGTCGTATGTGAAGCTCATAAGAGGGATGAAACTTCTAGAACTTCAAATCACTTTCAGGGTGACCGAGTACATCAGCTCACTGGAGCACACCCACTTCAGCGATGGCTCTGCCCAGCCGTCCTCTCTGACCACAATCACCCAGCAGAGCCAGCAGATGGCTGGCATCGACCTCGGGCTGGAGTTGAGCTGCGAACCCAGCCCCGAGGCCTCGGACCTGAGCCTGAGCCAGCCGGTCATCCAGCCGCTTTCCATCCAGGAGCTGCTGAAGGAGAGCGGCAGAGGGGGCCGAGGCCTGGACCTGAAGAGCGGCAGCCTGATGACCGGCACCAGCGCCGCCAAGGCCGTGTGCACGCTGTCAACACAGGCCGACAGGTAGAGACTGAACAAAAACCACAGCAACAGGATAGACTGGCAATCCAGACACTTTCTACATGTGAGGTTCCAGGTGTTGCACCAGTGCTGTTAGTTGTGTTTTGATTTTGTTTTATTAAAACTCAATAACTGCACGTGTTCCAAGTTTAAGAAACAGTAAATGAGAAATTCAGCGATTAGATTTCCTTTGACAGTCGGATCAGAGTGGCCTCTGTCCTGGTGGTCGTCATTATTTCAGAGAGTCGTTGCACTGAGGTGCAACTTCAGAGACTTGTTTTATGTTTTTTATATCTTTTTCATTTTATAGGTATTTAATCTCGCTAAAGACTAACAGAAGAGGGGTTCAGTTTTATTTATACTTGCACTCTGACAGCGATGAAAAGACTCAGTTCTCTCTTTCGTCCACTTTAACTCTAACGAGGTCACAGTTATCTTTCAGACTCTCAGATCTTTCCTGCCGTGCTTTCTGCAGACATCACATCCTGACAAGAGGAAATAAAGTAATGCACGCGATGAAAGGCAAAACAAGAGAATTATGTGGTGCAATATTCTTTTTATCTCTATTATCTAATTTTAATTATTGTTAGAAATTAAACTATGATGAACTGCGCAGCCATAACTAATAAGGTCACCACGGGCAACAAGACGGTGTAAATAGAAACAGACTAAGACGTTTCACAGTGGGTTTAGTTTCTAACTGAAGTGCAGCAGCTGTGTTAGCGCCGTGTTCCATTAACAGCCAGCACGACCGAGGCTCTTAATGACTTTATCTTCCAAATCCACGTTACACCAACATTTGGTGCTCAGCAGGTGTTCCCGAGCTTGCTTTTATAGCCAAAAGATGGCAGCAGTGGTGCAGAGCTACTGCTGTGTGTATGTGTGTGTGTGTGTGTGTGTGTGTGACACACTTTCTTTGATGAGTCATTTGGTATTTGGACCCTAAATGTAAAAGTGTAACAGTGTTTTGTGCTTGTTGTTACTGGACGACACTCAGGATTAGAGACTGATGTCCTCACACGTGTACAAACACGTATGCATATGTGTGCGTGCCACTTGTTACGGCTCGCACGCGGCCGCAGCAAACGTGGACTTGTTTGCGTGTTCGTTCCGAGGATCATCTCTTACGTAACCAGTTATCTGGGCTGCTTTTGGGAGCATATATTAATAAATAATAAAAAAAATTATCCCTGATCTTTTGGAACAGATGGACTGAACACATTTACAAGCTCAAAGTGGCAACAACCGTAGTAAATACTGCTGCACGGGGCTGGCCTATATGTGCTTAGAGGGCAGTGAACAGGGAAGCTTTGCAAGTATTTCAGTGTAGGATGCAAACTTGCATGGCAGCGTTGCGTTACCTTTGCACTGTAGACGTTCATGTGAGTGTATGAAATGCTTTCTGTGTGTTTCAGGTTATTTGAAGAAGGCACCACCAAACTAAACCTGGTTGGTCTGGTTGGTTTCCTGCAGCAGCTCAGAAAAGCTTCTCAGTCTCAGCTGTTTGACTCTCCCACCGAGACTGGAGACTATTCACTGGCAATGCCAGGTACACACTTTGCATTAATTCAGTGCACATTATATTGACTGGCTGACTTTACTAATGCTTCAGTAAATGCATGTGAGCACTCTGGGCAAAAGCCCCCACTCCACCCCACCCCTCACTCCATGCATGGGCTGACCATAGACTGTATAAAAAAGATGGACATACTCAAGGAGATGCCACCAATTGGTTTTGGGCTCTACGCTCTGAAACGTATGGAAC